AACTCGGCATCCTTCAAATACTTTGTTTAAATCTCTTAACTACAACTCAGTGTAGTCCTCAACAGAGAAGAAATGTCTGAGCTGTGTCCCTGCTAATCCATACCACTCTGGCTGCAGCTGATAGAAGATTCCAGTTTGTTCTACACCTGGGGGAAAGGCTGCAAGACAGTACTAAAAGGTAAATAAAATGTCCTGCTTATCCTGATGCTATTGGATTAAAAACACAGCTGATCAGGACTCTAAATCCTGTATAGAGATGTTCATAAAAAATAGAAACTGGCTAACTGGATAAAAGGTAACTGAATAAAGTGTTCAGGTGTATACCTTCCAGATGCTTAAGATTATGTTCTGACCATTGTATTCTGGAAAAATAGTCCTAATGTCTTGATTTGATTGCTTACAGCATAATTCCTACAGTCCTGTTTATTGGTTCCTCTGTTTAGTTAAGTCTTTGCTATTCAGTATTTTGGTTGGTGACCTGCAAAACCACACAAATTAACCTGAATGACTTGCTTATATAAACTACTATTCTTATGAGTGAGGTTGGCACTTGAGGTAACAGTGTATGGGCCCTGTAGGAGAAAGAAGATGGAGAGGGCTAGGTGGGGACAGGGAAGAGTAGGAATTTTGAGTGAAGAGAGGTTACGCGTCTTCAGGAGAAGACCTGAGTTGGAGTTATGCAGTAACCCATGGTATACTGCCCAGGCACGTCTAACAAAGACGAAATTAGGAAGACACAACTTTTAAGTGCCATCCCACTTTTTTCCAGACGCTCTCGACTAATAACCTTCTTGGACCTGAGTGGGCTGCTAATAGCATGTGTTCTTTCTGCATTATCCTGTTACAAGGCGTATGACAAAGCAAGATCTATGAATGTCTGGGTTTTGATTAGCCACTGCTGAGCTGGACTTAAAAATAACCCTTTTGGATTATTGTCTGTGTGCTGTGCGTACATGTGTCGCTGTCAGCAAAGGCATAAGAGAGCAATTTGTCTGCTGTAGGGATGTTCTCGTTTTTTTGTGATAACAAAACTAGAGTGTATTTTTTTGATAGTCAGATGCAAAAGGAGAGGCTGTATGTAATTGGATTGAGAGAAAGTCACAGAGAAACGGGGCCTGGAGCAGTTGTGGAATCTCTGTTGTTAGAGATGTTCAGAACTCAACCTGGCAGGGCCCTGAGCAACCAGCTCCATGTTGGCCCTCTTCCGAGTAAGGGCTGAAACCAGATGATCTCCAGAGGTCCTGGGGATCAGAGGATGGCAATATTACATAACTTGCCCTGCCTTTTCACCTGACCTTGTTCCCTGGACTGCACTCAGTCAAAGACTTGCTACTTCACTTTTATTTCTGATCTGAGTTTTAGACAGCTGGGCTAAAAGGAAAAAAAAATTCCCTCACACCAACTGTTTTTTGAAGGACTGTCATTCTTTGGGGGAGTGTGATGGAATCTACTGATTTGTACTTTATTTTAAAAGCAGCATTAGTATTTTGTTTCCATTTTAAAGATTGTCATTCTTAAACTGAAGTTAACATTTTTCAAGACCAGTATCACGTGTAACAAAAATAATTTCCTGCAGGGAGTTAGCATTAGGAGAACAAAGCACATCCTCAGGGTACAAACTTTGAGCTGCTAATCAAGTTAGGGGAAAGCAGTGAATCTTCCACACAGTATTGCTTTCAGTGGTTCAGACCTACATGTGTCACTGGCTGAAATAAACTTTCAAAGGGAGTAGGAATATTGGGGTTTGTTTTAGTTGCCTGCAGTCAGACTTACACTAAATGAACATCTAACCCCCCATTCAAGAAGAACAATGTAGATAATTGTTATCAGAATTTGTTTGTATTTTGAATGTTCTGGGTATGTACTCAGGCTTGCACATGCTTACAGTCATCTGTGCTAGAAGGAAGCTCAGTGAAAAGCATTAAGTGGTTCTCTGGTGATTTTTCTGGCTACTTTAAAATTATGGGCAGTGCTTCTAAACAATTATCATTTTAGCTTAAATTTTCTCTGGCTAAGGAAAATAATCTGATACAAGCTTATGAATTGCTTTGTAAACCTGAGGCAAAAGACACTATTATGGTATTGTCCAAATGAGCAAAGTTAGTACTTAGCTGTAGAGCAGCACTTCTGAGGAATTGTCTAACTGTAGGAATATACTAAAATGAAATCTTAATATCAAATGTAACAAAAAGGCAGGCTTAGCTACTAGTTTAAAGAAAAAAAAACCAACTGAAACATGGGCATCCTGTGGATACTTTCCAGTTTTATTCTGCTGCCATAACATAGTCACACAGAAGAGTTGAAGTGTAACAGATCATGCTCTGCATTCAAATATTTTTGATAACATTTAAACAAATCTACTCAAAGAAAACATTCCCCCTTTCTTTATTCGCAGGGAATAAATTAAACACAAAAGAAACACATACATGCTTGAAATAAATTTTAACATAGGTATTAAAAAAATTTTTGGGAAACATTAATTAAAGAATGAAGTCTCAGAACCAGCCTGATGTTCTTATACATTTTAAATGAACGTAAATTAAAATGGAACATACTTATTTTATTTACTCCTCAAACTTAAGTGCAGCACAACACAGTTTAAGTGCCCTGGCACCAAAATAATATACAAATAATTAATAGACTAGGCCATTGGTAAATTTATCATTTGTTATCCTTTTTTTTTTTAATGCTATAAGAAGTGTGCAGCAGCTAAAGCCAAACGTGACAGTATTTGTTCATGTCTGTCGCTAGAATATAGCATTTATCTACCTGCAAAGTTGTAGATAGATTTAAAACCCCAAGTACAAATTAACAGGATGGACGTATACACTTAAAATTAAGCATGTTCAAACAAAACTTTGGACTGCAGAAATGGATGCTGAGCTCAACTTTCCAGACAGTTCCTACCTAAAATGTGATGTGTTTATATGTTGTTATTAAGCTGACTGAAGTTTTAACCAAGGTCAGCTGAAGCAGCCATTGAATACAATGTTTTGGACTTGTGGTAATAAGCTTTTTTCCCACCTTCAGAAGGTTCTCTCCTAATGATTTTGTCATATATGATAAAGAAGCTTGGAACTCAAACATATGCAGCTCTCAATCTTTCCTAGTTATGCTATAAGTTGGCCTGTAAGATGTGAAATTAACAAAGTGCAAATGATTACCAAAAGCAAAATCTGACGCTTGATTATCTTTTACCATCAGAGGATTTTGTCTTACTTCTCATAGCCTTTAAATTACAATTTAATACTTGGAAATACTTTAGAACTGTACATACTAGCATTTATGTAGAGGAAAATTATGAACAGTTACACTTTTCCTATTAATCCATATAATTCAGCTTTAAGAAGCAGAACAGAATATATATCTGAAAAACATCTAGTTATATAAACATCTTCACCTTGTAAATTAGAGATTAAATAAAGGTATTTAACAATATCATAGCTACTCTAAAAACAAAATATTAGGTATTTAAAAAGAAGAATTGCGTTTATTCAGTAGGATTTTTCTTAAGGTTGCTTGTTGTTTTTTATTTTTTTTCCCCAAGGATACAGCTTAATAGAAATAAACACTGTAACTCAAAAAAAATTGCTGTGTCATTCTTAAATGAAGAGATTAAAAAAAAAAGAGCCTATGCATGACAATGAGGGGGGAAAAGAATAAGTGCTTACTTTCCTTCCAGAAATCATGAGGTCTATGCAATAAAATTATAGGGAAGGTGTGGGGGAAGAGATCTAAAAGTTGTTTTTGTTTTTTTTTTTCATTAATAATATTTTAGTGGAACAGTATTACAACAGATATCCTGGTTGTGTCTGCCTTATTTCTACTGAAAAATACTTTATTTTCCTCTCTGTCCCATGGAAAAGCTAATAGATAGATGCTTAGCCCTTACTGAATTACTCCCTCAAGTTGTTTTTAATAATACTTTAATAATAAAAGGAAAAAAAAAAACTTCAAGTCAAAGTGCAAGCCACCTTGTTTCAGCCCTTCATAAAAGTGTTTGTTAGACTTTTTCCTCATTCATCTTCACTTATTTTTGAAATATAAAAGCTGAATGAGCCATTAGGAACTTACAGTCCTTCACCCTGCACTGTGCACTCATATCACTAGATAGTTCCTCTACTCAGCCCAAATGAATTTGGAAGTTTGTTTCCAAAATAATCATAGAAATATAGTATTTTTTAAAGCTGTCCTGTTTCTACATCATCAGAAGCACTAAGCAAATCTAAACTTAGCCTATTATTGTAACAAGGATTTCTCTGAATAAGTAGGAGAGAGAATATTTCAAAGTTTTTTTAAAGTAATGTAAAAGTTAATTTTTTCAAGTTTTTATTAGCTACAATAACCTTTCTATGATTGCACTGTAAACTGTTCCAGCTATCTGATTTAAAGGAACAAACTTGGTATTCCAAAGCCCACTTAGTGGAGGCTAAGAATATAAAAAATATTATAGAAAAGGTTATTGGTTGCAAGTGGAAACAATTATAGTTGAGTTCCTTCCTATAATAATTCTAGAATTTGTCTAGGCTATTTGGGCTTTTGGGAGCAAGTTTGAAATCCTATGAGCATAATCAACCTGAGAAGCACAGTCAGTGGAAAATTCCCATCATCATTACTAACTGCCAGCATTTTTAATGCTGTATGTTCACTTAGTCTTGTTTTAATCTGACCTTCTGAAATGAAGGTTTACAATAGCATGACTTGAGCCACACAGAAGAGGACTCTCAACAAAAGTTCTGTTAGTTAAGCTGTGGCCAGGGACTCCAATGTCACTCTTGCTAGTAATACCTTAGCTGGAAAAAAACCCCAACAATACGTATCACCAGGGCTTAAAAGGGGGGTGGGGGAGAAAGAGGAATAGGAAGATGAAGATTTTATCTTCAGGTACCATATTCTATTTAAGTACCACTTAGGAAAAAGGCAGCATATAGGAAACTTGAAGATAGTTTTACCCACAGAAAACAATTAAAAATATATATATGAACACAAAATTTCAGTACTTAAAATGCTGCTATTTTGCTTGCTTCTCGAACCCCACTCAAGTAAGCTCCTGTAACGGTCTGAGGAAAGTGCCTGTTTGTAGCCTGTATTTAAAAAGAAAAAAAAAGTGAATTGTTTCTAAAACTATTAGAACAAATAAAATTTCAGTTTATAAGATCAGTTTTGTTTTCCTTAAGCATATACCAACATTTTTAAAAGCCATGGAAAATACTTCTTAGAAAGGATGTAGGAGGAAATGCTTAAGATTTTTAGCATCTTCAAAATTTGCAAGCAAGTCAACTAGCAAAATTAGTAGTCTGTTTTGCCATCTGGACTTTGGTGGGGCGGGTAAGTTCTGTTCCAGTATAGAATGCACCTGTACCATCAGCAGCATGCATTTGTTATGTTAGCCACAAATAGAGTAACAGAAAGAGAATTGGACTAAAAATACAAGTGGATTGTATAGTCTTGTCATGTTCTGCACTTATTGGTTATGCAGTTCACTCCTGACCTGAAATATCTGGCAGACTTTCCGTGCCCAGTAATTATATGAGTAAAGAGGGTTCTGTGTCAAAATCAAGAAACATTAGCATATTTGTGTAACAGAATATTTATATGCTGCCTCTGGATTAATGGTGTCGGTTAGCAAAAGACGCTCTTTCACAAGAAATAGTTCCCCAATAACCGTAATCAACAGTAACAAAGATCCTTACCTCACCAGCAAAAAAAATTTTTCCTTGTATGTCTTCAGCTATAATGTCATAAGCTTCGCCGCTGCCACCTGTTTTTACAAAACTATATGCCATCTGGAGCCAAGGGTCTTTGCTCCATCGAGTAACAAAAAACTTCACTGGGTCAGGAACCTCCTGCATAATCAAAGTAAAAGTTATGCACTGCAAAGAAAAGCTCATAATTGCATAGCTTTTTCTCATAAACAGTTTCTTGTAGTCTTTTTAGAGTACGTAGTATTATTACGACACAGATTAGATCACGTTCCAGAATGCTGTTCCAATTTTCTTTATTATACTATTAACCAGAAAGATAATTTTGTTTGCTAGGCTTGCTTGATGTCTGAAACATCATAGTTGCACTGTTTTGAATGCAACAAATCTGGATATTGTAAAATACCTAGAACTATACATGAGGAAAAAAAATTCTTGAAATACATATATACTCTTGCAAACAGATAAAATACCAATATCAACGTCATTTAACATGTTTGCATGTATAATGTAAGCACTTTCTGTCTTGGTAAGGCATGACGCTTTGGTGCTTCTAGCTTGTTAAATCTCAAAACGTAATCTTCATTTTGGAGATAATTTTATTCCAATGGAGAAGTAACATTACTTATCTGAGATCAGAAAATGAGCTGGCTTGAAAATTAGGTTCAGGGAGAAAACAAAAAAACAGAAAGTCAGAGTGTCTGCAGCTAAGCCATGACAGTAATACTGGGTATTCTTTGTCACATTGCAGCATGCAAGTTCCACACAATCCTACCAAAAAGAGCCTGGATAACAATTGTATGAAGGCTCAGTCAACTACAGCTGTGTCTTGCTCTTGAGGGGCTTGTGACAAGTAAACAGAAGCACCCCTGCTTGCCTCTTACACAACATCTGGTATCAACAAATAGACTGTTCCATTCAGGTAGCCCATCAGAGACTAAAGCTCAAGCAACCGAGCCAATGGCTAGCCAAGTGTGGCAAGTTTCACGGACATCCCAGAAGAAGTTCTGGTACACCCCTGGAAGCTATCTTGTCTTTGAAAATCCTGCTGCATTGCGGACAGATGACTGAAATTCACAACTGCTATAAACCACGGAGACAGACACGAAAATCACTCTCCTAGACTAGAGTGGCACCAAAACCAAAGACCTGTTTGCTACCTCGACGTTCTCATGAGATCGAAATAGCAGGTATGTGGACTTACATTGCACATGATTCTGGTAATTGTAAAGCCATTACCAAAGGTATGTTTTGTAGGAAAAGTCGGGCTTTCAGATGCTGAAGTTTTTCCAAGATCATTAATCCTAACATCTGAACCATCAGTAAAACTTGAGAGATCACTCATGAACATTAACACAAGCATTCCTTGGGATCTAACTGCTCTAAGTAATTTCACTAAGGCATTACTGTCTATAGAGCGGAATGCAAATAACATTGCTAAGTGATAGTCTTCTGCTTGCCCCAGATTTCTCCTATTTTCCTATTAATTTTTATCCAGATGATGAGCTGAGGGAAGGAAAAAAGGTAGACATTTTTATCTAATGTTTTTTTACAGTCAGGATGTAGGGCCCTTGATAGATCCTTTTGACTGTACCTCCATCCCAAGACAGCTCAGGAAGGGTTGTTTCTTATTAGAAGAGTAAGGGATTTGTTTGGTTTGGGGGTGGGGGTGGAGGTGGTGTAATTTCAGTTGCTTTTTACATGGAGGGAGGGGGAATCACAATCAAATTCATCTCGCTTAAAGCTTATATGATGTATTGGAAGCAGCGATGACCGAAAAAAAAAGTTTGGAAAAAGCGACAGCTAAGAAGTGTATTTGTGTTACCTGCCTGAAATACTGATTTTAATTAATTTTCCTTTCTAAAAGCACTTTAAAGGATGATAGTTCATTTCTGTTTTTCAATTCATTACCATTTTCCTTCACACAGATCTAAGATAATTCAATTCACATTCTTCACACAAGAGACCAAACATTGTGTTTTAGTGTACCTCAAAGGAAGCATATTCTCTCAAACTGACACGAAAACCAGTTTAAAACGTCAAAGGTTTTCCTATACATTGTGAAGTAATACAATTGAAAGCTTTACCTCTGTTGGCAAGTTAATTCATCTCTTAAGAGGCTTCTCTTACCTGTTCCTTAAACAGCTCTCGAAGTACAGTCATACACTGTTGCAGTACTTGTTTATCATCTAAATTCTTAATGGTTGTCACAGCATCTCCAGTGACCACTGACATTAAAATGCTTTGTTTGCCCTAAAAACAAGACATTAACATATAATTTTGAAATTATTAGATTATTAAAGTATTTCTTGAAGAGTCCCTTTTAGTTGGTACTGACAAAGAGATTTTCAGCTGCAAAGCAACTTTTGTTCTAGAGGAAATGGGTTTGATTCCTTAGAAGAAAGGGTGCATATTCTATGGTATTTATGCTCAAGTTACTAACATCCTCTGATGCCTTGTTCCCAGATCTGTGTTACGGTCAGTCCCTTTTACAACTTGCTGAATTACCTGAAAACTTCCTGTCTACCTATTTAGAGGCTACACCAAAAAGACTGGACATTTATAGTGTGTCGTCGTGACAGACCTCTTAAGCTCCAGTTCCGAGCCAAAATTCCACCTCAACTGTACTCCAGTTTCAAAAGGTGGTAACAGAGAGAATCTATTTAAATACTAGTTAAGACATGTTTTGGATTAGCCAGTACTAGGTTCCTACCAACAGATTTTGGCCCAAGAAATGAAAGCTCAATTCTACTGATGTTTCCTTCCACTTCAAGACATCTGCTACCATGCAGAAGTTTCAAAGATGAAGTGGTGACTATAGAATAGCACACAGGTTCAAGTCCTTTAAAAGAACTCTCCCTCTCTTCTTTATAAAGGCCGTTCTTCTGTTACTAAACTTGATAGCTAGCAGAGAATAGCTGTCAAGCAAATAAAGCATTATATGTAGTGTCTCTGGACAGCACCAGCACACTGGACCACGTGTAGAATGAGCTTAAAAGTACTGAAAACTTCTTTAAGGAAAGTAATATACAGGTACAGATAGTGTAGTAACAGAGCACCATCTTCACAGGCTGGTTTCCTTTTGGAGTAAGCCATAAGGTTACAAAATGGCCTTTTAATTGCTGCCAAGTAGTAAGCAGCAGTTGTAAAAGCATGAAAAGGTAAGATTAATGTGTCTGCTTGGACCTGGCAGGGAAGAGAAACATGATGTCAATGCACTGGTTTGAATTTGTTTTGAAATTCATGAGTTTGGGACTGACCCTACAGACCTCAGTTTCATACAAAACCTAGCGTTTGTCTTTTCTTCTGCCCCTCCATAGTTATTCAGGCTAGTGCAAGCTGTTAAGTGTTAATAAGCCAGCATGATCTTTTTAGCAGGATTTTTAGCTGATTTTAATAAGGGAACAGAAGTCCTAAACTGGAAGCGACTGGTAAACTTTTTCCCATATTCATACCTCTATAGTCAGGTATTACAGACTTGTTTTCAAGATAGTTTGAGAATAAAAGTATTAAACTTGCTCGTATATTATTTTGTATCCAAATGTAGGAAAGCATTCCCATTTATTACAATGAAGTATCAATCAGCTTTTTCTTGATAAATAACACTGCTTCCACTTCTTTAAACGGTTGTGGGGGTGGGGGGGAAGAAGAAAACTTTCATTGTTCAGTAATTATTGCACCTAGATTCCAAACTGAATTTCTGAAGGGCCAACAGAAAATAGAGCTAGATACCTCTGGATCCATGTCATAGAAAACACTAAAGAGCCCACGTTGGCTGGAATTGGGTGGAACATGACCAAAAAAATCAGCTCCTTGAATTTTACTGTCCCAAAATCTATAAGGAAACTGCAAGGCAATCTAGAGAGAGAGAGAGAGATGGAATTAAAGCATTTCATACCACAAAACTCATAACTGGATATGGTACATGATGTTCTTCTAATTCTTTTTCCCTTTTCCACTCCATTAGGGACACCCAGTTCTATGAGAGGGTCTCAGAGAATATATGGGCCTGTTCTCCAAGGGGAAGGAAAAAAATCCGCTAGTCTCACAAATTGCAAATGCACAGACAGTATCAAATTCACAATGAAATTCACTATGGCAAATGCTGAAGAAATTCAGCAGAATTTTTACAAACCTAACGTAGAACTTAGTGATCCCCATCCTGGGGGGGGGGGGGGGGGGGGGGGGGCTTGCCTTTAAATTTCAACATTGTTATAATGCTCTTTCTGGCATTCCTTCTGTTACTGTTCTGTTCTAAGCATACATCTTAGTATGGATCTTTTCAGGAGAAGCGTTTTTTGCATGGGGAAAGGCTAGGAGATTTTACACTGGTCAAATACACAACTTCCAGTATTCTTCTGAAATAGTTTATGTATTTATTAGGTGAAAAGGTCCTGGAATAGGCATATTATTAGAATTTTGGAAGATCTAAAACCATCATGAAGGCTCTCTCAGAATTAGGCACAAAACGTTTAAGTCGTGAAGTGATTCTGCAAACAATTTCTTTAAAACCCCATCAAGTTGGGAAATCTAAGAAACGGAAATACATATGATCCCCAATAGCCTTTTGCTCTTCTGGGCTACAAGTAAAACCAAATGCATAATAAATCCTGAGAAATACGCAGCAAAAGCAACAGGGACAAAGCAGCCAATGTTTCTATGAAAAGAAAATGAATTATAATCTGAAATTAGTTACCTTCTCAATGATTCCTGCTCCCAAACTATTAACGGCTTTAATTTTTTTTTCTGACAGTGGAGGATTAAACTGAATGGCATTTTTCTGAAGAAGGGCCAGTGGTACAGTCACTAATACCTGAAAGAAATAATTACAACAGTAGCAAAAGCTGAATACTGCACTTAAGCCTCACAGCATCCTCTTAACTATCTTGGATTATTCTTGTAGGATGCAGCATAATACTCACCAGACATCTCTAGATTAGTGTCTGGTTTTACTCCCCATTAATGGGAAGCACATGCCTTACGTTCAGGTGAGAACAGATCCTGCAGTTCACTGGTTTGAAGTTCAGTATGTTGAATTGCTTGTATCAGAGTGGCTAACCATGCTGCTGATTTTAATACCTCCTGTAAATTATAGTTAATGGCTCTCAGATTAACAAAACTGTTTTTTTGAAAGGAGAGAAGATGGTCATTGTTTCGGTTTGGTTTTTCTTCTCCTTAACAGATCCCTTCTCTTTAAAATATGCTCAGTAACACTGTTGATGTCAATCCAATCTTGATCAAGTTTATGTATCATTTTAAAAATTACTAAAAGCTAAATTACGCAGCGTGAAGTAGGTGGGGATACAGGGAATAAGGGAGACTGAGAAGTACGGGTTGTCAAGTCCTGCATACCAAAGGGAAAAATTTTAACAGGGCAGATTCACATGCTAAATGGGGTAAAGCTGAGCAGGGAATGGAACCAGAAAATATAACTGTCACTTCAAAGACCAGATAAAAATCTACTTGCTTCACATTTTTAGTACTACCTTTATAGTGCTTAATTCTTCCAATCAACTAGTACTACTCAAAACTCAAGCATGCTTAATGAAAAATAGGCTCTAGGACATCCAAATATGGGTCACTAGAATATATAAGTTTTCATCTTTGAGTGGGGAGAAATTGGACTAAATAGTCTTCTGAGGTGGAGAAAAAAAAAAAAAAAAAGACAAAAAGGACATGTACTGTCGTCAGTATTGTTCTTGTGTTCCCTAAAATCCCTAAAATCTTGAAGCATATTGGCTACCTTTTGTGTTGTCCACACTGTTCCATCTGTAGTAGTGACCTGTACTTCTTCACCAGAATAGTCAATACTCTGTACCTATTGAAAGACAAATTGAAGATCACACTACAAAATCTACATATGCAGCATGAATTTAGGCAAGAATAGCTAATATAGCATCAGTCTGCAAACTAGAAATTGAAGAACACAAATTTCCAGAGAAATATTGAAAGAAAAAAAAATAGACTCCATGGAAGCTGAAAAAGAAAAATCATCATGATTCTAACATATAAGCTCATCATATCGTAATATTTAAGTACTGATAGTCCTCAAAGAAGATTTCCAGAAATGCTGAAATCGTCCTCTCTTTTCTTAAAGACAAGTCAAAATAATCACAGGCACAGATTTGCCTGGTCCAAAAGAATACAAAGAGATGACTGGGTGCTTCAAAGCAATCCAAGACAGGCACTGCATCAACATTTTCCAGACTCACTGGGAAATTCAGCCGGATGTCCAGCCCTTCTGCCAATTTATCAATCACAGTAGAATATCCCACAGTTAGTAGAGTGTGATCTCCAGCAAACTGGGCAAAAAATTCATTGTGGTCCCATGAGCGTGCAGATACCTGTGGACAGAACATAACTAGCTGTCTCTACTGGTGAGGTGACAGGGGTACTAGCACAAGTCCCACACTAGAAGCAGCCACCCTAATTCCCTTCACAACTAGAAAAAAAAAAAAAAAAAGTGTAGCACCAGAATGTATGGCAATGCTGACAAGAGCAAATGGCTTATTTACCTAAGGCCACTATACAACATAGGAATTGCTGAATTAAGAAATGTCATAATATGGGTTGGTCACTAGCAGGTAATTTATAGTTCTGCTTGGTAGAGAAAACAAGGAAAGTAGTACAAAAATTCAGGTGGATTGCAGTGTATTTATTTCAGTTTTCTGTCTCTACCAAAGAAATCTGATTTTACAGCCTTAAGATTTCAAATAAAAATGGAAAATATTTTATTTCCCAACTTTAAGGGGAAAATAAGATACAAAAAAATCTCAATGGAGTTTTTCTGTCACTCTGGAAGTTCTTCCATAGTATCTTTTTTTGACCTTCTCCTCCCACCGCTGCAAACTCAGAGTACAATAGTGATATTTGCACTAAGCAATCACCACTTAGCAGTGAAAAATCTGAAGCAGTTCTCAAACTGCTACTCAAATGCCAATTCCTATCACTGCAGTTGCATTTGCCTCACATTTTGATTTTAAAATTGAAGGTAAGATAGACTTTAACATTTTTCTTATTTCCCCTGGGTGCTTGTGAAGTGCAAAAGCTTGACATATCAAAATATTTTCGATTGACTGCCCTGGTATAGCATTGTCTTGCAGATTTTTGTTATGTTCTTATATGCTTCTCAGTTCAGATCAGATTTGTGCATCTGCACATACCAATCAGCTGTCCCACTACTATGCTGCAGTTGACGCTAAACATCTTTAACCCAAGCAACAGGACTGAGGAAATAATGCACTGCAAACAACATCATACTTAGATATTTCCTGACCCTGCTTGGTTAAAATTGAAGTAACGAGGAAAGCCAAGTATCACATAGTCAACAGAATACCTAGAGTGGTGAACTGGGGCCCACCGTCAGGGTGTTGAACACTTCAGAAGTTAAATGCATTTATTCTCAAGATACCTAGCAAGGTAGAGAAATACCTCAGTTTTTAAACACAGAACTGAGAAGCAGAAGTCACACACAACATCTGAGGAAGAATAACTCTCTTGTGAATCCTACCACCCAGCATCTCAGCAAAATGCCCTACTCCACTGCGCCGTCTACTCTGAACACTGAACTGTCTACTCTGACATTGAAGAGGATGTCGCTGGAAGCGTTCCATGAACTCCCATCAGATCACCTAAGGCTGTGCTGGACTCTGTCTCTCAGTGCTTTTAAAGAACGGGTTAGGGATGCAGGCACAGTTCAGGGATCGCTGATTCTTCCTTTGGGGCCATGGGCTGGATCAGATGACTTCTCAATGTTACTGCCAGCCCTATTTTCTATGAAGCTCTGGAACACAGCTGTCAAAACTCACCTGAGAGAGATTGCTGCCACAGGCATACTCCAAATTACTGAGATGGAACTGTAGTACTTTTTCTTCCAGCTCACTGAACTGGATACCAGACTCCTGAATAAATGCTTTATAGATCTCTTGTATTTTTTCTGTGAAAGAACATGTTTAAAATAAGAATATATCATGATTCGTCACAAGTCCTAGTGCATTTCAATATGCTATTCTCTGGATCACAAGATTTTCAAGTTTATTGCTAAGTTGCACTAAGATGTTTTTCTTCTCATAGGAAAAAAAAAAAAAACCCGCAAGATCTTTCCGGTGATAAAATACATCATTGTTTAGTCATAGGTTTCCCTAGTAAAATCTTCTTCTTCAAAAAGGAAGCATACATAACTTCAGGAAAAAAGAGAGGTTAAAATGATTTAAAAGAAAAAAAAAAAAAAGCAGCAGCACACTGTGCAACAGCACAGCTGGGCTAGCCAATTGAGACAGGAGAGAAATTAATTGTTTAGCTATCATCAATATACAGTTGAAGAAACACACTTCAAGATAATGGAGAATCCTTGCAAATAAATCCTGCTTAATTTTTACCAAAAACCAAAAGAGCTGAGAAATTTGATCCAGAGTTCACCAAAGAACGCAGGAGTTACTAATTCTGTCCTACAGAATCCACACTGAAAAATCTGGGAGGCAGACATTTCTGAGTGAGTTTATTTTTTGTTGTTGAATGCGCCTGCATGCTGTAAGTGTGGTGGGAGGTGTTACCAATGGAGATGGGACTATTCTTGCCAGCAGAAGGCTTTGATCAGGCTCTTTTTTAGACAGATTAGTCAAAAAGTGTAAGAGTTATGGCTAGCTATGGCCTGCTTCAGCAAGAATCAAGTCTTTTGAACTGTTAGTGCCACTAGTTATACTGAAAAAGCTACCTCATGAAAACAAGATACTATGTCAGAAGTCATATAGTATTATAAAAGCTTTCAAATTAGCCTTCCTTAAAAGTTACAAGTGACATTTTGGTACGTGTGTATACAATAGTCAATCTCCCTTTGTCCTCCACAGAGCCAGGTTATCACTGTTGGATTTAAGGTCAGATGTACAGCCATACACTTCTAAAAATGTCTGATGTAAAAGCCAATTTAACATAAAACTCTATGAATACAGCCAACATCTTCACTTTGCAATACATCTCCCACTTACCACCAAGAGGAACGTCTTGATGTTGGGTTTTATCTTTTCTCCACTCAGAGACGACATCTAGGATGGCATTGAAATGAAAGTCCATACGTTTATCAATAGTGGGATCTGTTATCCTTCCACCTTCCTGGATCAAGTCACATTTCTCCCCTAGTTTGTGCATTTTAATGCCAAGCTTAAGAAAAAGACATTTTATTGCATTTTAACTATAGAAAAACTACAGTGCTTAGCCTGCTCAAAGTTACTTAAAGTAAGGTGAATCCCTCAGATTTAACCGATGCCACTTAAAAAACATCCAGGACTTTAAATAATTAGTCAGATTAACTCAAACTTTTGTCCTCCTAGAACTGGAGTACCAACAACCCTTCTATCCATTAATTGTCCACAAACCGTTGTTCCCCACTCTTCCATCCTTTTCTTTATCGGGGATTCCCAGAAACCTCATCTCCAACTTTCCTATCAGGCCAAGGACTAGTACAGAGATGTTAGGTCTGGTAATCAAACACGATGAACCAGTCTCCTTCATTTCTACCTCACCTTATTCTCTAAATCACCATTGAAATCAGTTCTTTTCTACAACGTTCTGGTGCCGGATGCCCAAAGAGTTCTCTGCATTCAGGGACTGACAGGATGTTGATTGCCAGTTACCGCCAATTTCATTAACAATCAAGCAAAGAAAGAAATTATTTGGAATTAAACCTAGTATCTTGCTCTGCTTGTCCAACTTGTATTGAACGCACAACAGAGCTAAGTCAGAATAAAGATTCTCAGCCTAGAGAAAATAGCACAAATATAGCGCTAACTTCTTCCTAGGTCCTTGTTACTTAGGGTGCGCTCCAGGGTTTTGCACATATCCTCACATCTCTCTAGGCTGTTGGTCACCACTGCGGATCTCTTCTCAAGATACAGTTGTACTTTGAATGAAAGTTGACTTCAAATGACCACAAAGGGATGGACATGCAGTGTGGATTCAGAAGCCGTTGCTCTTCACCTCATACATAAAACATGATTTAAAAAAAAACAACCAAAAACCAAAAAAATTTCTTCATGACACTATAGAGCACTAAACAGTTAAAACAGCGTGGGCTGGATTTGCACGCCTCTCTGAACAAAATCCATACTCAAGTTCCACTTGGAGAAATTCAGCTTCCCGCTCCAAAAAAACGAAACCAAACCAACAAGCAAACAAAAAAAATCGAACCGCAGTGTGTTTGCATCAGTAGTTGTTACACATATTCATCTTAACTTGTGCGGAACTGAACTAGAAATACAGAGGCTGAGCAAATGCAAGTCTGTCAAAGAACTATATATTACAACAACATAGCAATAGCCTCCCACAGTAAAGCCTTTCTCAGCTCTAAGGAAGTCTGCCAGGGACGTTTTACATTACTTTCTCCAGAAAAGCGGAAAAAAGTGGTTTCCTCTGGTTCTGAAGCTGGAGCCACCTTGTTGTTCTTTACATAATGTGACCGAAACCATTCTATAGCCCTTCTCTGTCCCCAGCTGTTAGCAAAGATATAATAGCAACACAGAGCTTACTTACAATGCAGAACAGTGTTTTAATCATGTCATGAAAAAGGACTCCCACCCTTACCCAGCCACCCAAACCTGGCTTAAACGACAATTTTTCACTAGTGATAATGCATGACCACTGCAGGGAACCCACTTGCTCACACATTAGCGCCATTGGGTTGTTGACACATCCATTGACGATTTGTGCACCTCTTCCAACAGTGACTCCTTTGAATGTCTTATCGTCCCACACTCGGCCACCAATTCTGTCTTTAGCTTCTAAGACAATGACCTACGACGCAATGCAGCTTAGTAAATTGTAAGATTTGATTATGTTAAACATACCTGTTCAACTCCAGAGCAAAGGGGAAAACAAAACAAAAAAACCCCGAAGCAATCTAGCAGTGCTAGTGATCCTAACACTTTATTTTTGTTTGTGGATATAGTTAATTGATGCATTTAAATTGTCTTGTAAAGGTTACCCTTCGGGATATACACATATAAAATAACTGTTACTTTAAGAAACAACTCTAACAAAAATAAGCCTTCTTTTTAAAAAAGCTATTCAGGAAATCTTGAAACTGGAGTTTACGACATGCTACAGGCTATTAAACACAATGATCTGGGTGCAATGTCCATCTGAGGAAGTCCATATACCTTTTGAAGAAATTTATTCCTGGGGTATTCCAAGAGAACCCCATTCTTATGTATTTCCAACATTCATACCTACCTCCTTCAGCATCCAGTACTTGTCACAGATAGACATAGGATACTGGACTAGATGGATGTCTGACTGAATACATTTACCCTTACTTACTTATATTATCTTTTTATTTTTGGAGAAAGTCTTTTTAGAGAAACTCCATCTCTCCAGAACAGTAGAAAACAACGATGTGTATATATATAAAAAAATATATATTAATATAATATATATTTATGTATTTTTATATATTAAAAAAAAGGTTCTGCCAGTTAATATTTATGTATTTTACTGCAGGACAGCTTTCCACAGGACTTAATGTGCAAAAAGGCTGCACTGCAATTTGCTGTTTAGCAACCAAAGAATGAGATAATGGGGCTATAGGATTCAGGTTTTCATATAAATATATACATATATAAACATATAAATCCAGAAGGTCAGATGGTCATTCATTTCCTTAAACGTCAGCCCTGCAAACACTTCATGTTTAAAGAGTGGCATAGATTTTCATAAGAATATTCTAATGTGTAAAATTATGTCAACATGTAAATATTGTGAGATCACACTGTCAATGAATGATAAATATGAGAGAAAAGGGAAATACACGTGGTTTCCTTGGTTTTAATAAGCAACAAGTAAGTATAGTAAAGTGCACAAAGGAAAGAAAATTTCACCTCATTTAAACAGCCATCATCATCTACAGTCCCATTATTTGGACATGAATATCCATGTCTCCCCTATCTTCCCAACCCAAGTCTATGTAAAATATTCACTGCATGCTTTGTTGAATTTTAGAGACAAAAAAAAGCTGATTTTAAACAGCAGATTTACTCAAGAAAACTCCAGATTTTATAAAATAATTAGGATGTCATACACATAAACATTTGTAACAAGAATGTAATTTTTTCATTTTGATGAAGAACACTTTCAAAGCAGAGGAAGTCTGATTTTTTAAGTAATGTACTCTAAAGTTTCTTACCTTAATTCCAAAGTTGTGCAGTTGTCGGGCCGCTGCTAATCCTGCTGCACCAGCCCCAACAATAATGACAGATTTCTAAAAAATAATAAAAGATTTAAATAAAAATAGTTAGAACTAAAATAAAAGTTATCAGTGCACACTTACTTTTCTTCTTGCTAAAGTTGAAAATACCTGTAGGTTTCAGAAATCTAGGCTCTCTTGTCCTTTAAAGGAATCAGTGGTAACTTTTAAAGATGCTAGTGCATTTAATATAGAGAAAAGATCAGTTGTAGCTTTGAAAATAGTTACAATTTTTAAGCACTTTAAAAGCAGATGTCTCATTTTCCTTTAACAGGAACAGCTGAGGCTATCAGTCAAGTAACAAAATCTAATTGAGGTTGTCAGACAAGAAACACACTTACCTTGTAATGATTTCAATCACAGATTGGGTTGACCAGTAAAAACTATTTCATGAATTAAAAACATATACAAATACACTTTAGATGTAATTTTACATAAATGGTTAGAATCACAGGTAATGAGCAAAAAATCCAGAACCAAAAAAATATGACACATGCCATGTAGTTTTGTAGCACTAATAACGTAGTGATTATTACAGCAACTTACGTTGTGGTATTCTTTAGGAAGAAGATACTGGTCAGGACTGACTGATAAAATCCCTGTATTAATTAGCCCTTTCCTTGTCATAAAATAAAGTATCCTCTCCATTTCCTGTACACAACGAATACGCACAAGCCCCCGAACAATGATATGATGGATACATTTTTGAGGGGTAAGAGCCTCCTGCAAAGGAGAAACAAAGAATAGAAAGTGCTGATTATCTAATATTCATTTTTTTTCGTGCACTTACATTATATTTAAACTATAAACCAGATGGTAAAAATTAATCGTGCATCAGGTTTCTGAGAGCATTTTAAAAGCAAGTTTTGTGGAAGTTTCTTGCTAGCCAGCTTTACACAGTAAGGTAACAATTTATTAAGATAGATTAACATGGAATAAAAGCAAATGAGCCTGCAAGATACTCTTGCAAACTCCATGGTGTGCTCCATTAGTACAGGAATGGTATTGAAATGCATCCTTGATTGCAAAATGAATCTACCTGGTGGCCGTGCTCACAATGACATTCCAGTAAAATCCATTCCAAAATGGCATTCCAAATAAAAAATAGATTAATATCCAGAAATTTCACATAAATACAGACTTCAGTGTCTGAAAGCTTCACTATGTGAAATTCCAGCAATTTCATTGAAGGCAGCGTCATAGAGTTAGCATAAGTAAAAAGACAATCACAAGTCCAACAGTCACATGAAAAAATCATAAAGCACCCACAAACACTGTTTAGAAATGTTCAAGCATCCCTTTAAAAGTTAATAGCTGGGCAGACTCAGTAGAATTTCAATACTTTTAAAACTTTTGTATTTTACTGCAAAAGAAGCTCCTAGGCATTAAAACTCAAAAAAAATCCCAACCCCAACAAAACCCAAAAAACCAGCCAATCTTAGAAGGTATTTTCAAAAGGATGGGAGCAATTTGTCTGTTGCATAAGGAGATGTCTAAGAAGAGAGTCCACATCCCCCAAAAGCAGCTATTATTTGTAAACAAATAAATTAACTATTAGCATCTCTTACCTTGCAGTTTGTGTACCACAGAGCCAAAATCAGGTTTCTCAAAGCCAAGTACATGGTAGGGTCTCGTGAATATTCTGGGAACTCATAGAGCTCATCCAGTTCCATGACATCTGGCCTCACACAAAGTGCTTTCCCACATTCATTGGGCTGGTAAAAAGGCTGGAAATACTTGTTCATGCCTGCAACTGAATAAAGACACACCGAGAACTAGTCATATTCCATCGTATCTTCATCGCATCCTTTTCCCTCTAAGACGATCCATTCACCTCGCACAGATAAACAAGTAACGAAGCTTTCCATCCTCTAGCCACCTTCAGAATGATTTCATTTATACTGCTCTCCCCTCTCCTACCCTCTAGGCTGTGCAGTACTAATTATTGTCCTGCTACCTGATGGGTACATCTCGGACCGATGAGAGCCTAAGTTTTGTCAGAGAAACAGTATGTGCCCTTGGGTGCCACGATGAGTCCAACAAGGAACAGGGTCTAAACTCAAGCCTGAGGTCTAGCATCACTGTGCAGGCTCATGCAGTCCTCCGAACCCCTTTCATCTTCAACTCCCAATACTGCCCAGAGTGGGTAGTAACTAAAAGTAATCGTCTTCCATGTACAGTATTGGTAGCGCTGTGTAATGAAGTTTTCTGTTTGTTAAGCAGATAAATGTCTGTTGAATAGATGAACAGATTTATTTTCAGCACCTAGGGAGAGCAAACCCTGCTAAGATGACACAGAAGCTGAACTTTCCTCAAAGCACTTTCTCTGAGATGATTATGGGAATCCTGAATTACCTTTCTCCATACCTGACCCATTCTGGAGATCCGCACTCCCGGCTGTCAGTCTCAGAGCTGTCATTAGCAAAAAAATTAACCTAAACAGAATCTGAGTGCCTTAAGAAATCAAATCCTCTTCTCCAAAGCCCCAGAGATCCACAGTATCAAAACTATCAGAATCATGTTTTGTTTTGATAAATCTTCATTTCCTTAAGAACGCAGACAATCTGTAAGTACCCGCATGTTAATTTCCCATTTCTATAAACACATGATAGGTGGTAAACAAAAAGCCTATGCAGTCTGTGCTTACTCCCTAAAGAAATGCCATACAAAATGTATTACCTTTATCTTACAAACGAGTAAATTGCATCAAAGAAGTACAGAGGCAGTCACACAGAGAGTGTGTATTAGTGCTGAGAACAGAACCGGTATTTCTGAATCAGGAGCATTATGTGCCTTATAATCTCAGTTATAAGACAAAATTTATCACACCTATTTAAGCAACAGAGCCCTGCAGATGGCCCTTACCAGTCAAATTAGGCACGCTCTTTAAGTGCTCTAACTTCACAAGGTTGGATTCACCAGGTAACCGATTAGTGCTGGTACAGGATGGACTCATGCCCACGCAGTCTGGATAATATGCAGCTAGAAAGGGAGCTGCCACACTGTCTTTCAGCAAAGGAGGGAGTATGAGCATGGAGTACCACCAATGGTCTGAAACTTCAGCCACTCTCTGGCCAAGCGGAGAAGTGAAGGAAAGAGGGGAGAAGAGAACACGTCAGTACTTTGGAAACGGTGGAAAATGAACCAATTCCCCCCCCCCTCCAAACTGAGACCAAAAAGCACTAGCAGTACCAATCTCAGAATTGCAAGTCATAAAGACATTTTCTCTCCCTCTTTCCCCTTCCTCAGCCTGACACAGAAAACCTGTAGCATTAATCCCTTCCTCAGAAATGGAGCTGAAACTTCACAAACTCCACACCCACGTGGAAAGCAAACAGATGAGACATGCCATGACAACACATCTATGCCTTATCAGGCCCTTTGTAGAACATTTACAGTCATTTATGCATCCAGAAATCTGAACTTAGAGAAGTCTACACTAACTGATCCATTTAATTTAGATGCTGCTATCCCCATCAAAGACCTTCTAAAACCCTAACAAACACTAATGATTCAGCCTGAATTTACAGATCAAACATGCATTAAGGAAACAAAACCACAAAGCTTCTCCAAGAGCCAACAATAAGCTTGAACATGTTTCCTGGGATAGAGGTACCTCAGGTACACTTGTCAACACTGGCTTATTGAACATCAGATCATACTAAATCTGAAATGCAGGGTTACATGATCATAAACCCATTGAAACACCAACACACATCAAGTCTAGTTTTGTATTATGAGGGAGAGGAGAGAGAAAATATGTTTTGATGTTCTCTCACAGTCTTCAAAAAGAGGAGACTAGCTTGACTAAAGATAGAAACCAGCGGAAAGACAGGGAAAATTTAGGATGGGGAATTTTATTTGAAAGCCCGCAACTGAATACTGTTTTGCCTGATCAAAAATGAGAATTAGGAGTAAACCTTGAATCACAGGCCACAACTCAAAGACACCACGAACCACCTGAAAGCTAACTGGTATGGTAAGGGAAAAAGAGGAAAAAGATGAGAAAGTAGAAGGCCCTAGGCTCTGTTGCAAATAGTGTCTGACAGTTTCCTGAGCAAAATGCATAAATACCGCCATAATTGGCCAAAGGACCAAGAAAATGAAAGAAATATGCCGTGCTTTAAGATTGCTTTCATATTCTAGGACAAATGAGGAGGAACAGCCACTACTCACCAAGTCCTCAGGCATGGAACACTGGTCTGAGCCCTCAGTCTGAAAGAAAAGTGAATGGTATGAGAGCTATTCTTAAGCTGTACAACAAAAATTAAATATAAAACAAAGTAATTTGTCCATGGCACAGTTCTTTAAACTTAAAAAACAAACCAAAAATGTGTTAGTGTTAGCCTTCTGTAGCAGAGATGATTATGTTAGTAAAAATAAAGAGTAGAGAAATGCATAGTTAAAAAACACAACACACCATAAAGCAAAAACACCCCAGAAAATGTTTCTCATTTGTTAAGTTAGTTTCTACTGATCAGACATTAAAATATACATTCTATTCCAGGAAATGGAGTGGAACACTGAAACAAACAAATGGGGGGGGGCGGGGTGTAGGGGGAAAGAGGAATTTTATAGAAAAATTGTGGAAATATCCCACATTTTCCAGAGAGACTCTTCCAGTCTAGATTATTAAAAAATGTTTCTCATTTATTTTAAGAGTATCTTTATCACAAAGTTTCAAGATTAAATGCTGACCCTTCTGATTTGCATATGGTCAGTATTTTCATGTTATGTTTTTAACTGTATAGGTTCTATGGCATTATAAGGACTCTTTCAAACTTCAGGGGTTATCTTCATGCCAAAGCTGAAAGTTTTCATGTAAAGTCCCATGACAGACTTGCTAGAAATTAATAAAAGCTTATTGAGCTTTTCAAATGCTTTCCTCAATAACGAAGTATGGCCCAACAAAACCAAAATAAACATTTTGGTGTACGTCTATTTTGTACACGCTGATAAGTTTTCCATAGCTTCAGAATGAAGGATTTTACAATTGACTGTGCAGACAAAGATATTCCAGATACTTCTTTCTTGACACTGCCACTCGGGAAACAAAAAGTCCAAACAGCACGTAGGTCTGCCACCGTGCAGCTCTCCAGGCCATCAGACAATCATTTTGTCATTAGAAACATTAAGCAGCAAACAAGAAGAAATTAATGGCTACAAACAACAAACATCAACTTGTTGTTAGTTTCAATATGAGCAAAACTCTTCTGTGTTACCTTGGTGGAATTGTTCAGTTTCATACCACATCTGTAGGTTTTTGCTATTTGTGGTGTCAGCTGGATTTCCTTTGTCAGCTGACGCCATTTACCACAGTCTGGCTTTGTGCACTGCACCTACAAGTCAAAAAACAAACATGTTTTTACTTGTTGCTGTCTGATTACAGATAAGATTAATGAAGCATAACTAACCAATTAGAAAGCAGGGATATGTGAGGAAGTTGTCATACTTGTTAAATTCATTATCAGGTAATCCTCAGGTCATAAGTAAGACATTTGGTATACAGAAACCTTGCGTCCTTCTCCTGTCAGACTGAATTTCTCCACAGAACCTAACTCCAAAATTAATTCAACACCCAGTTGCTGTGGTCTTCAGTGGCTTTTGCAAGCATTACTGCAAAAACACAATTGTTCATCACTTCCAAAAAAAACCCCCCAAAAAACCCCAAAATCAAACCACCACCACCACCAAACTTCCTTCCATTCCAGTCTCTCTTCTTCTGCTCTCTTTACCAGGCAAATACAAAAATCTGTTTTCGAAGTCTTTCACACTCATACTTTCCTATAGCTGGCACGCTCCCTTTACCCCGCCAAGTCTTATTCTACCTGAACATCACACATCTTAGCTGCTACTTCACTGAAAGGCAACGAAGGTTGTTCTTTGTGGGGTGTGCAGAAGGTCTCCAACAATGGAGGAGCTGATCAGAACTACTATCTCGAGCTTTTCCACAGTCCTCTAATACTAGTCCCCCACCACCACCCTCAGCTGACCTGCTGCTTGAACATACAATATCAGAAACTCACATCAGAACATCACATTGAAATATACCCTATTAAATGAATCACCCTCCACCTTACCCAGTAAGGAAGTTGTTGATCAGCCATGAAGGCTTTTGGACTGGGCTCACTTTTACCATTACTTGTCCAAATCCTTTTCCAGGCAGTATATTTCTCATAACCATCTTTATGGCTAAGAAGAAAGAGAAAACAGCAAGCAGTCAGAAAATTGAGTATCTAGTTCATTTCAAGGAACAGCAGTTATTCTAAAATTAAACATTTCATGTAAGGACAGAGAAATAAGGCTGTAGAGAGTCCTGTATTTTTCCTATTAAAAAAGGAGAAAGTCATGGTTCTTACGATAGCAATAGATTTCATCCTGACCCCTATGTCCTCTTGATCATGAGCAAACTTCCCAGTATCTAAGGCCTGGACTGAGTCACAGGTACTGCTGAGCAAATAAGCACCCAAAAGTCTTAGCAGAGCTGGACTCAACTCCCACTCAAATGGGAAGGAGCTTGGAGCTGAAAGCACTCTGTGACCTGACCGGAGTCTTCACTCCGGTCACTGAACCACAAGAGTTAAATTTGCTGACTGATTTGATGTTACAGAGAGGAGAGGTCTCCTGAACTCACATTGTAAAGTCAATTTGCTTTATAAAGGAAAATAGATTTACTTAAAACTGTTCTCATCATTTAAAATTGTCTGATGTTGTTTTAAAAAAGACAAAAACTTCAGAATAACTGTACACACAAAGCAGCCTGCCTACAGTAACCAGTTTTGTTCACACTGCTATGTTTAAGTTGATGATTAGTCCATACAACGCCTGCAGTTTAAGCACCAATATCTAAGCCTCACTTTGAACAAAGCAAGCACAGAGGACAAGTCTTTGCATTATGTTATGATGTTTCAACAGTTTTAACGTCTGCCATATTCTATTAAGCACTGAAAAGGCACAACCTTAATTGGCAAATCTACCTTCGGTAATAGTGGTCAAAACATTCATTGCAGAAGTGTTCCCCACAGGAAAGATGATACCATCTAGACGTATACCCATTTTTAGCACATCTGTAACGCAGGAGACATAGAAATAGTTTTACGATACATTTAGAAAAAAATCTTTTTGTTGACAGTAGCACATTCTAGAACGTGAACAAAATATTCAGGACAAGCCAGGGCTTTATGTTCCATTCATGAAGGCTGACTTGCACAAGGCACTACAGTCATACAAATAACAGTAAGATCATTTCAATTGTCTCAAACATTTCCAGTTTCCAAACTAAGCAACACCAGATGCAAAGGAGGCAAAATGTACACAATGTGCAGTTTTATAGTTGGTCTGGCTTCCAGCAACCTCCCGCTAACAATGGTCAACTGAGCCTGTCTTTAGTACCCTTTAAGCAGACGTTTCCTGAACATGAAATACGTTTGCTCTTACAATATGTGCTGTGACACACTAAGCGTTTTGCAAATGTGTAAGAAGCCAAAGTCCCTCTCCACAGGAACTTACAGTTCCTTTGCTTTGTTCCATTTTGTTCTGGTATTAGTGCAGGGGTGGGAGGGATCATTTAAATTAGTATTTTTCTTGTACGTGTGATCAATTGAGTCATAAATCATTACAACAGCCTGTCCCCAGAACAACTGACAAAACTATAAAGGCAAATCTGAACACAAAACAGATGTTGCCTATTTTTTTCACGTGACCGAGTTGGCTGCGATTTTAACCCAATGAGAGAAAACCCCGAGGAAGCAGTTACACATTCTGGGCATTTATTCTTTATTACTCTCAGAAAGAAATATCCACTAGCAAAGATATTTATCAGACAAAGCAATTGCTCTTCACTTAGAAAACTCTCATTAAACTCAATGAAATGGTTCAAGATCAATGCACGAGGTAAAAAGCACGAGGTAAAAAGCAGTGGCCTAAGCTACTAACTGAAATAGCCATGAAATGATCTCATCTCAAATAAATAATGTTGAAAGTATGTACTTGGGGGGTGGAAGGGGTGGAAATCAAAATATTAAAATAACAATTCAAAAAGATGACTAAGCAGTATCTATTGTTTCCTAAATAAAAAAAAAGGTAGTATCACCAGTGCGGATCTCTCAGGTGCTCATTTCCCGTACAAGTCTCTTATGCAACTGCAAAAACACTTGGCTTTCCTCTGACAACATCCAGAATACATTGACCTTCTGCCACCAAAGAACAATCCACACAGATAACTAAATGAAGCATGGAATTATTTTATATCATTGGAAAATAAAGAAAACAAGGGAAGTTTGTCTCAATTAACCAGAGAGGGAGGAATGCTAGATCGTTACAGTCTGCCTACTGCATAATGAGGTCTAACGTGTTGCTTATTACAGACAGACCTTGCCAGTATCATGCATTCAGTACCACCAGGGCCAGAATGCAAAAGGACTTGTACAAGTACACAGAAAGCCAGGAGCAACTCGAGAACAAAGAGTTCAAATAAGTACGACTGTCTCCCAAGACCTAAAATTTCAAGGCCAGAAATCTCACCTCGGACTGCAAAGCATTCCAACGAAAGAGTGATAAAGACTTTCTGCAGTAAATGACAGTTTCATTTTCCATCTTGAAAGCGAGTTTAGCTTCCTCAGGTTACACTAATACGCTTTCAGTTCCACAGAAGCAAAGCGTGTTCCAGAAGACACCATTAATAACATAAATAAGCATATTCTAAAGATATTCTATATCTGAATTAGCAACTTGCACAGCAGAAAGTTATCCACAACAGGAATAACTTGTGACATTTTCCTGGCATCTTAAGACTCATATTAGTACCTTTTGATTGTCCCTCTACAATTAGAAATGAAGAGGGTTTTCAGAATGTAGTTAGGATCCTATACTTCAGCTGCAAGTTTAGAAAAGTCCGTGGAAAATGCAAATAAAAAGAAACAAACCTTTCAGCTGCACTGGCAAAGCAAACGGGACATGTTGCAGTGCATCCAGCTTTTTCACACTTTCTGTATTTCTTCTCTGACGCTTCATCATCATCATCTGCTGCTTCAGCCGCTTTCTTCTTCACCTAATAAAGACTAGCTGAAATCTGACTAGAAATAACACAAATGCATCTTCTACGAAATGGCATTCAGACAGTTTTGCAGCTCGTGGGTAGCATCAAATGGTTAAAATGGTACTAATGAAAATTTTTCTATCCATTGTGAAATAGCTGCAGCACGAAACAGCTGCCAAAGTAGGTCAGTTTTTCTACAAAAAAAAAACCCAACAGTAAGGCTGGAAATATCATTTAAAGCTAAAAATGTCTTGCCTTAGTCTAACTGATGCCACTGAAGAACCTATAAGCAAGGCTTCCAGTTTAAATCATATTTTAAGCTCCATCACATGCTAATGAGTCAAGCCTCATGCGTTCATTCTATTTCTCCTTCAGAAAAAGAAAATCTCTTCTTCGCATACTTATTGATAGTAATTAGTGGCAATCTTGTCTGCGCCTTAAAATATGAGGGCAGGCTTGGGGCTTTTTTTGGACTCCAGATACAAAGCTGTATACCAAACGTCTCTTCTGGGCCTTAAAGGTACTGTGTGTTGTGTTGTTTTAGGCCTCCGTCTGGATGGGCAGACAGCTTTGGCTGGCTGTACAGAAAGCCGTGACTGTATTTTTAACAGCAAGTATTTACAGGTTATATTGAACATTTGTCTTTTCTGAATGTTGTTCACAAATGAGACACTTCACCTACTTATTCACAGAATTAACTAATTCTCCCTCTCTCTGGATAAGTACTCTAAGTCCTAACTTATCCACAATGAAGCCCGCTTTCTTTATAAACGTCAACAGAAAATAAAAAATACTAGAGTATGAACCCATCTGTTTTTAAATTATTATAAATACCTGTCTTCCAGAACTCCTCAGAGGAAGGTTGTCTGGAGACTGGTCTGAAGAACATGCCTTTTTTTTCGTTCGTACCCTTCCAGTTGACATTGTATTATTAGATCTGCAAAAAAAAGGTAGACAGCAGTTAAGAAAAAAAAAAATTAAATTGCTTGATTTTGCAGAGCTGTATAATCACCTGGGCAGTACAGCCACTCATGATACTACTTTTGTCAGTTACCTAGGTAAAAATCTGTTTAGCTTGGCTATTAATTCAGGAGGAAAATGAGAATGAAGCATTACGGGAAAGGAACAATACTACTATTTTAAACTACATTCGGAGTTAAGATTAGATCCTTGAGTACATCTTGACAGGCTGTTCCAGATCAGCATACCCTGGATTTCAATAATCTGATTTGCATTACGTGAAGACCTGGACTGGAATTTGGGTTGGCAAAGCGAACAGACACGGGCTCATAACGCAAGCATTGAAATACCGCTCTGAGTAACGCTCGTCCTGCTAAGGACTGATTTATTGGTAGCAAGAGATTTGCACTGTAAAGCACTTTTCCAAACAGCGTACTGAAGAGATGTTTAATATCAGGTGAACAACCAGTTTGAAGACTTGCACGCCCTCCTACGAAAGTACATCAGAATTTGAAGTCTAAACTGCAGTTGCACTGCAATTATAGGTGATCAGAATATGACAAACTTTGTTGTTAAGCATACCATAGGAGAAAAGATTTACAACACAAGAGAGCTCTATAGCTGTCCGACTACATTGGTGGGAACACGGGAAAGACCACAGTTTATCATGTAAGCTAGAAAGCGTGGAACGTGAGAAAGTATGCCACAGAAATATGAAAGCATATTTAAAATGGTATTATCAAAGGCATTCTTTTCACAGGGAGTAAAACACAAATAAATAGAGCCTAGAGGAAGAATTAAATCTAAACGTGCTCCACCACATACAGAAAGGAAGTGGAAATAAAACCCTTATACTACAGCACTGCATCATGAATGTTATCTTGTTGTGGTAGGGATCAGTGTGTAATTGTATTTTTTTATATATATATATTTGAGACTTCTTAATTCTCTCTGTTCCAGGCTGCATCTTCCTTGTTCAAGCTGACAGTGATGGACATGGTAGCAGTAGCTTCGTTCAGCTAAAAGTAAAGGTAACAGGAGGAGAGAATGGGCATTTTTACGAAGTTTCAAACTGATCTGATGCAAATCAAGTAAACTGGTGCTTTATTCTCCTCTTGAGATAGAAGAAATTGATTTGGGAGGGGAAGGGAAATCACATGATGATATCCACAGAAGTGAAAAATTAGTTCAGAAAATCCAGTACAAAAATAACTTCTTTTTTTATGCACACACCCCCAATCATAACTAATTAGAGGGAGAAAAAAAAGAATTTAAGTCAATCTTTATTATCTAAAAAAAAAAAAAAAAAAAAAAAATACCCCCCCCGCAACTTCCCACGTCTTGAGGGGTGGATGAGGTTGGAGACTAGAGAAAGGAAAACCAACCAGTTTCATTTACATGAGATTTCCCTAGACTACCGCATAACGCCCCAGGAAATGGCGGCTTTTTCCCCCCAGGAGCTTTCCTTCTGTATCAGTGGCAGAACAGTCTCTCTCTGTATCACCTCAGCTTCTGACGCCAGATAATTGTTCCTACATGCTGTTGCCTTTACAGTCGGAGGCCATGGGCTACCTTGGCACTGAGCAATGCACCAGGCGACTCATTTTGGTGAGGACCAGGTGATCCCCGCCCGCTGCTGCAAGGCCCTTCATCCAGGGAGGTAAGGGGAGGTGCAGCTGTGTCATTGCGTATACGGGGTTAGGAAACGAAAAGGCAGCAGTTATCATTCACTCAGAAGTTTGGTAAAAATATGTAAGATTCAGAGAGGCCTCCGGTTTTGAAGGGCGGAGAGCGAGAGGTGCATCATACGCTGTCCCATTCTGCAACGCTTCATCCGTCTGTAACCCGTGGCCTACGTGGGAAAGCTGTGCGGGGTTCACCTGTACAGCCGACAGCAAGTTTGTCGGGGGGGGGGGGGAAACCACACACACACACACACACACACTGACACAGGGAGAGGAAAGGAGAGCAGCCAGAGAAACGAGGGGAGGTGGGACCACGCACACCTCCAAAGCTGCTCCTGGAGC